AAGGTCTGCACAGGGCAGGGCTGCATGTCCTGCTCAGGACAGACATCCAGGTCCACTGGGAGGCAAGTGTGGCTGTGGGCAGCCTGCCCTGGGCAGGCAGGGGCAGGCAGGCTGGGCAACTTGCAGTGGGAGGACATCTCTGCCTGCAAGAAAAGGAGCAACTTGGTGTCTGCTGACCCAAAGCATCAGCCCTTGCTTTTTTTTTTTTGGCTGGTGAATTCTCCAGCAAGAGGTTTGCACCTTGTGCTCCCATTTGGTCATGAAATTAGGAATAGAGAGAAAAAAATGCTGGTTGTAGATTTGTTTTTCCAATTTCTGCAACTGCTTCTTGTGGAAAGAGAGTCAGTCATCCTGTTCTCCTGTATAAACTTCCAAACTCAGACTTTCCCCCCCCTACAATCTGTTTCCAGCCAAACAATCTCACTCTAGCAGCTTTTTCTTGTCCAGGTAGCCCTGGATTTGATTTTCAGCAGGTTTCTAAACTTCAGGTTAATCCCCTCTCTTTTCCAAGGTGTTTTCACCTTGTCCTGAAGCTCCCTTGCAGGAGAACAACCATCTCAGGAGCTGCAGCTTTCACTGCCCCACTTCTCTTGTGGCTAAAAGCAGCAACAGGCAAGACAGGTGAAAGATGAAGCTGCTGGATGGTTGATTTTGTTGGGTTTTTTTTAGACTCAGAGTGGTCAGGGTTGGAAGGAACCTCTGGAGATCATCCAGTCTTGACCCCCTGCCAGAGCAGGGTCACCTACAGCAGATCCCACAGGAACATGTCCAGATGGGTTTGAATGTCTCCAAAGAAGGAGACTCCCCAGCCTCCCTGGGCAGCCTGTCCCAGGGCTCTGTCACCCTCACAGCAAAGAAATGTCTCCTTATCTTTAACCTGACCCTCCTGTGCTCCAGTTTGTGCCCATTGCCCCTCATCCTGTCACTGGGCACTGCTGAGAAGAGCCTGGTCCCACCCTCCTGACATCCCTTGGAGATATTGATCAGCATTGATGAGACCCTAACTCAGTCTCCTCCTCTCCAGCTGAACAGCCCCAGCTGCCTCAGCCTTCCCTCATGGGCCAGATGCTCCAGTCCCCTCATCTCTACCAGGGCAGAGTTAGAGGGGCAGAAGAACCTCCCTTGACCCACTGGCCACATTATTCTTGATGCATCCCAGGATGCCATTGGCCTTCTTGTCCACAAAGGCACATTGTTGGCTCATGGTCAGCCTGGTGTCCATCAGGACCCCATGGTCCTTCTCCCCAGAGCTGCTCTCCAGCAGGTCACCCCCAGGAGGTTGGGCAGTCTTACCTGGGACCTCGGCCACCGTGGTCTCTTCACCACTCAGATGACAACTACAGGCAGAGCAGTTCCACCTCCTTCTGGTTGTAGGTGCTTGATGAGCAAGATGGTTATTTTACTTCTCTAAATCCAGCTTGGAGACAAGAAGGAAGCATTTTTCAGAGCATCCATGGGAATAGAGACAAAATAAAGGCAAAGGAAGGTTATTAGTCTTTCAAACCCTCATCACCCAGGAGGTGCAAGAGCCAATAAACCATTTCCCTTGCAGGGATTTATTCCAGCAAACAGCAGGAAATTCCCACCAGGAGTAGGTTCAGACCAGAAGAGTCCCAGAGAAACTCACCCAGCTCAGTATCAGCAAATAAAGGCAGTGAGCAGACAGAGCAGCTCTAACCTGGGACCTGCCTTGTATATTCAAGAGCTTGGCCTCGGGACTTGAGGTGCTCCAGGCACACAGACAAACTACTCCTTGCTGACCCGGCCCTGCTCCACCTCTGCCCTGTGATGGATTATTTGACTAATTATTTTAAATGGAAACTGGCTATTTTCGTGGCTGTAGCATAACCTGGAGTGAGCCAAGATGGCTTGGGGACTTCACGTGGCCCTTCGGCAGGGCCTGACGTCAGCGAGGAATGTGGGAAATGAGTGGCCTTGCTCTCAAATAATCAACCACTCACGGGGCAGTGTCTCGGTGATGGTAAAACATCCTCCAGCCCAACACATCCTGCGGGTCATTAGAGACAGGATGGGATGTGGGATCTGGGGGATTCTTTTATTTTTAGCCATATCTGACCTCTTTTCTGTCCCGGCCACTGTCCTGTTCAGCCACGGGGCTTGTCATGCTCTGAGGGCGCCAGGAACGTCTTGACGTAGTTTTGGAAACTCTTATATCATCTCTGGTCTTGGGATGTTTTGCATTTTCTTCACTTGGAGGGTGGTGAGATCCTGGAACAGGTTGCTCAGGGATGTTGTGGAAGCTGCATCCCTGGGAGTGTCCACGGGCAGGTTGGATGGGGCTTGGAGCAGCCTGGGCTGGTGGGAGGTGTCCCTGCCCATGCAGGGGGTTGGAGCTGGGTGATCTTGAAGGTCCCTTCCAACCCAAACCATTCTGTGATTTTCTGCTGAAGCTCTGACTCAAGAAACATCAGCTCCAATCACCATGATGTTGATCCTTGGGGAGTTACCCCCTTGAAGAGCATTTGGGTGACCACCAGCCTTCTCCCTTCAGCCCACAGGTTTACCAAAATCATCTGAATTATATTAAGGATTAATTAAAATGAACATGATCAGCAGTGACCTGGCAACCCAAGGGGTCACACATCCCACATTTACCAATTTTGGCTTAAATCACCAAGTAGAGTGGACACCACAATGCTCAGCAGCATGGGAACCTGCATTTCAAGGGAGAAGGATGCACAGACACAAGAACCTTCCTCTCCAGATGATTTATGCCCTTGTGTCTGCACCAAGTCATACTGGTTCCATGTTTGTGTCACCAAGTGACTTCAGGCAAATTCAGAGTGAGCAGAGAAGGAAGTTCCAGAGTCTTTGATCTCTCCCAGGCAATGCAGTTGGTTCTCTCTTGTATAACGAGGGGTTTCCAGAGGAGAACATCTTGCCTGCAGTTGTGGCAGGTAGAAAACCCTACCCAGTCATGCCCAGTTCACTGTTTTCACTCTGAGGGTTGTAGCTTGGTCTTGGTTTAGCTCATTAGACACTAAAAATGTGCCCAGCAAACCAGAAAGAGCCACTACCATGGGCACTGTGGTCAGAGCACCCAACACGAATGGTTCATCACCCCAGAGTGTCACTGCATGGAGATGGGCCACCACAGTGGAAGTGGTCCTGAAGTCCCAGAAGGAGCTAAAGTGACACTGAAGGTCTTAAAAAGGATGTGAAGCCTTCCCTGGCTGCCAAAATCCTAACATAGTGTGGTTGTGCTGGTGCACTGCACTTGGTGGAGGAGCAGAGATGGGCTCCTTGCAGCTTTCTACAGGGTGTTCATGGAGAGGCTCCTCTTGGAGGTGTCCAGAGACGGGGTGAGAGTCACGTTGCAACGAGGGAAGTTCTGACCAGATTATTTGGAAAAAATTTCTCAGCAGGAGGGATGTTGTTCTAGCAAGAGTCACCAAACTTGAGCAGTAGAGCAGGAAAAAGCTGCTCACTGAGTCCTGTCCCATCTCTTATCCTGGCCTAGGGTGGCTGCTCAGAAGACACGTGCAAGAAAAGGTATCAAATGAATTTCTATCAAAACAAAGTTTAATCCCAAGGGGGATTGTTTCCAGGCTGGATCATCAGTTCCTTGTCCCTCATCCCCCGTAGGAAATACGTGGAGCTGTTATTCCAGCTCCCAGGCAGCAGTCATGGTGTCCCATGTCCAACCTCAGTGGCCAAGTTTCCTAAAAAAATTATAATGTAAGGAAGTAATTGAAGGATTGGAGGTGGAGCAGCTCTGGATTATTAAAATATTGTGTTTCCATACCCTTGAGGTGTCTCACTTCCGGAGACACAGGCTCTGAAATCGTATAAAAGGGTTCATATTGTAGTGCTCCTCAAACCATTTTTGTTTCATTTCCTAGTTGCTGGTGGTGAACTGGGTAAGTCTCTCTGGGTTTAGTGGGAAGGAACGTAGTGGTTGGGGTGATTGGATGTGGAAATCTCTGCAGAAACAAGTCGTGTGCTTCTGCTGGGGGAGATTTGGTGTGTGGTGTTTTACAAGGAGCTGAGTTAAGGGTGAATATTCATTCCACCTCCTGCCAGGCTTTGTTTGGTGTGTGTTTTGCAATTGCTTTCTCCATCAAGATGTGTCTCAGGGCAGCCAAGAGTGGGCCAATCTCTCTCTTTCCCCAGTGACATGGATACCTTCTTGTAACCAGGAAATTACTGGGTTTGAGGGAGATCAAAAGGCAAGGCTGGGACTTCAAAGGCAAAAAGTGGGAGGGAAGATAAGAAGTGGAGACTTGGAGGCTGCAAGGGTAAGCAATGCCTGGAAGGAAGGCTGGGTGAGGAGAACTTCTGTAGGAGAGCTGGGAAAGCAGCTGCTCCCTGAGCATCGGATCCTTTCCTCGTGGAAGTTTTCCAGCATGAAGCCCCGACTTGTGTCCTCCAGTTGAGGACCCACGTGTGGCCAGGGCAGTAGCAGAAGCCTGGTGGTGTCTTTTGTGGGTGGAAATCGGGAAGTGATGTCAAAGAGTTAATCCCAGCCCAAGGGGAGCTGTGGGCAGGTGGCAGCCATCTTCAGATCCTGCAGTTCCTCCGAGTCCAGTAACACCATTTTTTTTTTGTTTTGAGAAGAAATTGTTTGAAATTCTTCACTATGAGGGTAATGAGACCCTGGCCCAGGCTGCCCAGGGAAGCTGTGGCTGCCCCATCCCTGGCAGTGTTGAAGGGCAGGTTGGATGGGGCTTGGAGCAGCCTGGGCTGCTGGGAGGTGTCCCTGCCCATGCAGGGGGGTGGGACTGCATGATCTTTGAGGTCCCTTCCAACCCAACCCATCCCATGGCTCTATGAAACATGTGTGCAGGCAGCAGATCCACCTCACTTAAAAGGCTTCCATTTGGGATCAGTGCCCTGCTGTGGATTTCAGGCTGCTTGCCCAGTAGATGGTTCAGTGTCCCACCGGAAAAACTGGGCGGATGAAATAGCTTTGTGAAAGCTGCGTGTTCTGCACAAAGTCTGTTCCCTTCCTGCTTTCAGACCTTACCCCTCCCTCAAAGATGCGTCGCCAAGATTGTTGCCAGGTGAGACAAGTCTGCATTCCCCCTCCCAAAATCTTGGTGAGGACTTGTCCTGTGAGGAGACGCGTGGATTCCTGTGGCAACATCTGCAACGTCCGGAGCTCGCGCCCGCGCCTGAACCCCTGCTGCTACGCTACAGTTCCCCAGGGCACCACCACCTACCTGAACCTGGGTGCTCTGGGGGTGACCCAGGGTGCCCAGTGCCTGGATCCGTGTCGCCTTGGGGTCCCCCCCTGTGAAGTGGCCAAGTGCAGGACCCCGTGCCCCAACCCCTGCATCTGCAAGGTTACAGAGTGCAGCACCAGGTGCCAGGAGTCCTGCTGTGAAGATGTCACCAAGTGTGCCACCACCTGCGTTGACCCGTGTTGCCAGGAGGTCACCAAGTGTGTGGACCCTTGCTGCCAGGAGGTCACCAAATGTGCCACCACCTGCGTTGACCCTTGCTGCCAAGAGGTCACCAAGTGCACCACCAGGTGTGTAGATCCTTGCTGCCAGGAGGTCACCAAGTGCACCACCAAGTGTGTAGATCCTTGCTGCCAGGAGGTCACCAAGTGCACCACCAGGTGTGTAGATCCTTGCTGCCAAGAGGTCACCAAATGTGCCACCAGGTGTGTAGACCCTTGCTGCCAAGAGGTCACCAAATGTGCCACCAGGTGTGTAGACCCTTGCTGCCAGCAAGTCACCAAGTGCATCACCAGGTGTGTAGATCCTTGCTGCCAGGAGGTGACCAAGTGCACCACCAGGTGTGTAGACCCTTGCTGCCAGCAAGTAACCAAGTGCATCACCAGATGTGTAGATCCATGCTGTAGACCTGTGACCAGATGTGCTACCACATGCGTGGATCCATGCTGCAACCAAGAGGCCAAATGCACCACCAGGCGCATCGATCCGTGCTGTGGAGGTGTCACCAGATGCACCACTACATGTGTGGATCCGTGCTGTGACAGGGTGTCCAAGTGCACCACCAGGTGTGTGAATCCATGCTATGAAGCTTTGGCCAGATACATTTCTCAGTGTGTGGATCCCTGCTGTGGACAAGTGACTAGATGCACCACCAGATGTGTGGACCCTTGCTGTCAGCAAGTCACCAGGTGCACCACCAGGTGTGTAGATCCTTGCTGCCAGGAGGTGACCAGGTGCACCACCAGGTGTGTGGACCCTTGCTGCCAAGAGGTCACCAAGTGCGCCACCAGGTGTGTAGATCCTTGCTGCCAGGAGGTCACCAAGTGCACCACCAGGTGTGTAGATCCTTGCTGCCAGGAGGTCACCAAGTGCACCACCAGGTGTGTAGATCC